ACGCTGCGGTCAGCTGAAGGCGCGTCTGGTCACTCCCCCCACCAGCCCGGTGGGGCCCGGGGCGCGCAGCCCGCCGCCCTCTCCCCACCCCCTCCTGGAGCCCAGCTCGTTGGCGGAAAAGAGGGCCACAGTCACCCTCGTTGCCTGGAACGCCCTAGCTCTCTTCGCAAGGCAGCGCCCTGCGGGACCTGGAGGGCGAAGCCGTCGGGGGCGTGGAGCGACCATCCCGCCGAGTCTCGGGAGGGCCTCGGCCGGGGCAGAGCGGATTCCGCCCATCCAGCGGCTGGTACCACTCATCAAGCCGATATCCAAGGCCCTGGTCTTTGACCCGCCTCCGACCCTCTTCCTGGCGTCGAGGACCACTGATGCCCGCACGGAGAGCAGAAAGCCGTGCGCCAGTCACCCGCGCGAACTCCGGCTGTCAGCCGATCTGAGCCCCTAGAGTCCCGGGCTCTTCCACATCCAGCATTCTCTTCAGAGAACCCACCGCAAGTGGAAAAGGCTACGGTTTTCATACCCTACAAATGAGGCATTGTGGTACTTTGGACAGAAATAAAAAAATCTCTAAATGTCAACCTGGTGAATTTTAACTTGCAACTAAGACCTAATTCCCTGCAGACTTTGAAGCTTAATCCCTTTTACTGGCCTTGTGGAACCGTAAATCATGACATTATTATTTCACCGACGGATCTCTTGACGTCGAATTTCAGATGCTACGTACCCAGGATCTGCTTTATTTAAACTCTGGCAAGGATGTCTATCGTATTGAGCGTAACAGGAAAAAAAAAAAAAAAAAAATCTCAAAAACCAAGTTTGCATACCGACTGTTCCTTCACGGAATTTCATTCTGCTTTCTTTTCTGTTGGTCTGAGTTTCCATGTACAACTCAAACAATTAGTATGCTATTAGCTGTTGCGCCTGTGATGATTAAGCAAGAATCCCAGCGTTTCTCTTCCATAAAACCGAGTTGTCTTTGCCCCTAAGTTGGGCCATAATTTAAAACACAAGCAGACAAGGAGCATTGTAGAAAACAAGGATGCACACAGCCCCCGCTTCCCCCAACCCTTTTCAAGGCAAAATTAAGTCCCCAAACATTTATACAATGTTCTGATTTAGAAGGTCAGAGAAGTTCACTGTCCTTTAGTCAAGCTGTGACTTTATACAAAGTTAGATTTCAGATCAATTCACTCTAGTACACTCTTTTTCTTTTAGAATTTTTTTCCAAATAAAACCACAAAGATGAGAAATTAGAAAAACGTGAAGCCAGACCTACCCATGTTAACTCAGCTGTCCAGCCATAGTGAAGTGGACAAGAGTTTCAGATGAATCAACCATACCCACTGTAATGTTTACAGTGATGAAATTAAATCACACCACGTTCCCGTGATGCAACTCCATCTTTCAGTGAGGCAACTCCCCTCATGACACCGACACCATCATTCACATTTCGTTCTTGAGTTCCCTGGTGCTCACGACTGTCAAAAGGAAGGGCAATGCCAAGCTGTTCTGCAGGCAGGCCCCGGTTACAATTTTCTTTCCCTTGTCCTGTTAAAGGGGTGGAAAACCATCAGAGGCTGTATGCTCACAGGTATGTTCTTCCATACTTGATGCAAATGAATCCAGTAGACGCCTCTGAGGATTCACGGTGCGACTTTAAAACAGTATCTTGCTTTAGAAAACAATGTTTTGAAAAGAACCGAATCCATTAGCTCTAGCCTGCCTGTCAGACGTCTGACTCCAAGGTAAACAGTCTTACATCACTAGTAATCAGTATTTATTTCCAGACCATTTGAAATGAAATCGGTCACTGGGAACAACATGTAACATACACATGTGCTTGCAATTACAAGCAGTAGAACCACTCATCCTATAGCTGTGTCCCCAGTAGAAACATCATCTCATAATACTTATTTGAACTATTTACACATTTATTCGACAAAGACATTTCCAGAATAATGTAATGCTGAACTTGCCCTTTAGAAATGTTTTTCATTCACATCCTATAACTAATAAGCAACCGAATTTCAGATATTAAGTCCTAACCTTCCAACGTGGCTAGATACTATTCGCAATACACGCCTCTATTAAATGTCCTTGACTTTTAACCCAGAGTATGTCAGGGTTCTTTATATTAACACAAAGCTCTCATGAAACTTTGTAAGTAAAAATGCGAGGTTGTTTTTTGTTAACCACTTGAAATACACATTTTCTACAAAATTGTTGGCCCCTAGTCAAACAAATTAGTCAGGAATAAAGGGACTCACATCTCCCTTCAACAAGACCAAACTGGAGCCATAAATGATCCACTTCAGTACATACATTTACCCACTGTACATTAGAATACAGTGATGCAGAAATATAATACAATATTAAAATATAATACATATGTAGGAATCATTATTTAGATTGTATTAAGCAAATGGCACACCTACTAAAAGGGAAAACAGTGCCAGCAATATATTCTTTCTATCTTTTTCATTTTACCCAGTGTTCTAAAAAAAATAAAGAAAAATAATATTGCTTACAGGAAGATAATTAAACAGGATGGGAATTTTTCAACATGACTGGGAGTCTTTTCATGTATTAATTCTCAACTCAAAGATTTCTGTTGGCTAATCTCAGAAAAATAAGGCACACAGCATTCTTATAAACACATGTAACTCATCTCAGGGTCCCCCCTAGAGGTGGTCACAGTCTGGCATGGTCCCCCTGTGTGCCGGGTTTCACACTGAATCTGTCACTTAGCAAGGAAGAGTAGAGACACTTCTGATGCCAGGCTGTTCCAAAATTGTTTATGAGAAAAACTGGGTACATTTTTGCAGGGAGTATAATCAGAAAGTTGGTACCAATCTTCTGACTCTAGGGGTTAAATAAAGAAATGATACTTGACTCTACGAGTGTGCTTCACCATGCAACATCTGATTTCATGGTATGCCACCCCAGACTATGCATATAATGCTCCTGGGGAGAATGGCAAGGCAGTGGACTGATACATTTATCCCAAGTCTGCTCCCAGGACAAAGGTGGTTTCAAAGTTTGCTGATGCATGTGAAAGAGAGCACTCTGGTTCTGTCTCACCCAGGCCCTGTGCCTCTCTCTCTCCAGTGTGTGGCAGCTTGCTAATTCAATTAATTTTTTTCTAGATGAACAAGAAAGGGATCAGTGAAAGGTTAATGTGGTCCTAGGCAGCTTGATTCAGTTGAATCCTTAGCCACCACTGCACTGTGACCCTTAGGAGTTGGGATGTTCTGCTTGACATAGAGCCAGGGGACAAGGATTCCTGTACACCAAATCGGGTCAGAACCAGAGAGGTCTAAACAAGACTGCTTGGGAAGATACAGAGAAGGTGTAAACTTACCTATGAGAGATCACGGCCTCATTTAACTCCGAGTCCAGGAGGAGCCTGTGTCTCGTAAAGGAACTTTTACAAATGGAGTAATAGTAGTGAGACCTTGAGACAAAGGGTCAGAGAAGGAGCCCCACTATTTATGAGTGTTAATGGGAGGAGATTGAAGAGATTGATATGGCCTCTCTGTTTCATGCATTATTTTAATACAAATACAGATGTAGATTTAAATATGCAGGAATATATGCATACATATACATAGTCCATGAAATATAGTGAAATAAATTGTATTTTGGTGGTGAGAGGTATCTTCAGTTTTACACACACACACACTTCTCAGAATCAAAAACACTTACTGAATATGTATTATCTTCCTGACACTGTGCCGGAGAATCAAACAAGAACAAGACAGCAGCCATGATCTTGAGAAGCTCACTAATCAACTGACCTTTGCTCTGAAACCCTATAGAAGTCAGTTCCGAGTCTGTCTAAACATTCCTCAAGGAGCCTGGTGTCTGTTGGCCTGCTGAAAATATGTTCACACAGCACTTTGCCACTCACCGTTGATAGATGCCTGCAAATCATTAGTGTGGCTATTAGTGTAATGGGATGTTGGAGGTTTAAGACCGGACTGAATGGAGACAATGGTGCAGGGATTCTGGGATTTCTGGAACCATATATTTCATACAGCTATTAGGAAATTCAGGAAACTGGCTTAATGTTTTGTAACCACCACAATGAGGGAAAGAGTAAAGTTCACAGGCGTACAGAGCTGAGTAACCTCCACAGAACAGGTAGGTAGCAGGTGCCTCTGTGCACACACCTGCCAAGGCAGTGAGGGAGGAGAGGCAAACCAGAGGGGAGAGGGTCCTCCATGTCTCCACATGGTATCCTCTCAAAGAGCTGGCGGTGGAATAAGATATTCAGGAAATGGGTTTTTTTTTTTCAAGATAAGGAATGACAGAAAATATGTGAACTCAGAACCTGGAATTCTAGTTTTACACTTGTCACTAGCTTTCTATGTCATCACGGGCAAGTCATTTCACCTTTCAGGACGTCAGGCCCTTTACCCGTAAAATGAGGGAGTGAGGACTGACCTCACAGGGCTCCTACAACTCCAACATCCCACGACTGCTTTCAAGATCGTTTCCCATCTACCTTTCAGAAATGTTTCCGTCCCTTTCCCTCTACTGTGGCAGGTCTACTTACCTTTCCAAGAAGCCTTCTTGGTTTCCTTGAACTCCATGGTGGAATGAGCTTTGACATTAGACAAAGTTGGGCTCAGGACCAATCTTCATCC